AAAAAGTGTTGAAGTAGTTGTTTGAATGACTTTTTCTTTCAGGAAGTGATATATTATCAATCTGTAATGACAAAAAGAACTTCTGGAAAGTCACTTTGTGAGAGGCATGATTCATTACTGTCAACATTCAGTATTTATCTGATAAAGAGGGTTTTGTTTCATATGGGTGGATTATAAAGGAAACAAATGCATGTAAAGGTGTCACTAGTTTTGCAGCACAATCGCATTGTTCAAAATAAGCTGTGTAAGTGGATTATAAACTGGTTTCGTGCAATCTGACTGAAATGAGAAGCCACACAGTAATGTTACATCTGTTTAAATCTCATCTCTCTGTCCTCATCAGGTCAATTCTAGAGAAAGAGGGACCAAAATCTCTATTCAGAGGATTGGGTCCAAATCTTGTTGGTGTTGCACCCTCAAGGTAATGGTTCAATTCAGTTTTGTGCAAATCACATAAATGACCCACTCTACAGGCCAATTTGTTATACAAACATATATGCATACATACATAATATATACATACATACATACTTTTTTTTAATCAACCTCAGAGGTCTTTCGTTTTAAATATTGAGTTCTTCTGTTTCCTGTTACAAGACTCTTTCCAGTAGTAAAATGGACACAATTTATAAAATATATACAATATAATTGTCAGTACTGTGTTTGCATCATTCCTCAAACTAGTGACATGAATATTGACAAGGTATAAAACAATAAAGATAACTTATGACCAAGAGCTGACTTTTTGATGGATACAGTCCAATAATAATTGTTGTTGTTGTTATTATTTTTATTATTATTATATTTAAAAGTACATATTTCTACCTAACATTAACAATGCCTTTCCTTGTAGCTTTCATTTTAAATTGGGAAAATAGGAGAAGAAAAAAAAGTTGTTGAAAGTTTTGTCACTTTTTCTCCATATACACAATAATAATACTGTAATAATAAAACTGCAATATAATGGTATACTAAATTTCTCCAAAACATAACTGTACCTTTTATTGTTATGTTCGTTTGTATTAGGAAAAGTAGTTGATGTTTAGATAAGGTACAAAAGTGATGAAATTCTTAGTAGTAATAAGTATTATTTATTTATTAATTGCATTAAAATTAAAATTAATTATAAGCAAGCAAGAAATCTTTTTTCACTCCTCTAGGCTGTAGTTGTTCTCTGAAAATGTAGTCGTTGTTTCCCACAGTCATCAAGGCATTAGATCTGGGTGTTTAGTCAGCTCTTTGTGCAGTCTGTTCCAGACATTCAGCGAAGAGAACGGACAGCACTGTCAGGAACTCTCACTGCAAGCTGTTTGGCTTGATAAAACATTGGCAGCCTTTCAGTGCGAACAGCCCTTTTTCATATTAAAATGAACTCTGCACTGTCATGCGTGGAGAGAGGAAGCAGGGGGTGTTGAGTTCAACAGAGTTAAGGTGCTGATATTGTGTTTTTCCTTTTGTTCTTCTTCAGGGCGATCTATTTTGCAGCTTATTCAAAGTCAAAAGAGACTTTCAATGGCATCTTTGTCCCAAACAGTGGAATTGTCCACATGTCCTCAGCTGGCTTTGCAGGTGATGCCTTAAGGTTATTAAAAAAAAAACACTTGTGCAACATTGCTGATAACGTTTCCCAGAACTTGAGTGAAATTTATGCAACTGTTTGATGCTTTCAAAGAAAAGTGGGTGTTTGATTCCCTAATTGCATTGTTTTTCTTACAGCATTTGTCACAAACTCGCTGATGAATCCCATCTGGATGGTCAAAACAAGAATGCAGCTTGAGAGGAAGTATGTTAATGCTGTAGACTTTCACCCTGCTTTACTCTCAACAGGGAACTTGCATGAGGGCATGACACATATCTGTATCAGACCCTTGAGTTGTGGCCCTTTTGTGTGTGAGATGTAATGCATCCCCAGATACCGTGAGGGTAATGAGTTTTTTAGGATGGGGGACATACAAACTATTAGCACTGTCTCTGTTACACAAATGTCATGATGATTAGCATGTGATCCAATCTGCTGCAGTGCAGATATCCACCTTGACACAGCCGTCGGGGCTTAGCAGGCATGTTCTATATTTGCGCTATAAAGAGCGCCGGCAGTAAACTGCTAGAGTCAGATGAGAGAAGTATGTCAGATGGTACAGTCTGAAAATAGTCTGGCATTTAATTCTCCCTCCCACTCTGCATGCAAACCACATTTGTGCATTGCAAATTAAAGTTGCAAGTGAACCTTTCAAAGTCTTTGACCTTGATTTTAGTATTCAATGCCTAAACTAGGTTTTGAAACCAGAACTGTTACCTCAGAGTTAATCGTGCTAAATTCTTGACCTTTGTAATCCATTTCTTCATGATCACCTGACCGACTGTCCCTTTGTCCTCCAGGGCACATGGGGAGAAGAAAATGAACGCGTTACAATGCGCACGGTACGTGTACAAGACGGAAGGTATGCGAGGTTTTTACCGGGGCCTGACAGCGTCGTACGCTGGCATCTCGGAGACCATGATCTGCTTCCTTATTTACGAGACGCTGAAGAAGTACCTAGCGCAGAGTCGATTCACCACGCCTGACACTGACACAGAAAAAGGGGCTTCAGATTTCTTGGGCCTCATGGTTGCTGCTGCATTTGCCAAGGGTTGCGCATCCTGCATAGCCTATCCACATGGTAGGTTGTTATTACCTGTCAGCCAGCGTAAACTAGTCTATGTCTAAAAATAAACATAGATTGCTTGCTCTTTGGCAGTAAGACTTGCACTTTTAAAACAGGACTTGGAGTGCATGAAAAATACAGTGAAATAACATAACGTTTTGATGGATAAAAAAACATGAATTTAGGCAAGTTTTATTGGTCATTACAACAACATGCCGTTATTCCTAATGGGATGAGTTGCTAAAAAAAAAACGTGAAGAACCTGCCCAGGTTATAATTGACTCAAAAATTAAGAGGGAAATAAAAAAGTAATTAATTTAATTAAACATGACAGTAAAGACTTTTACAATGCAAAGTTCATTAAAAAAATATTAAGCAACACAACTTCTTTTCTTATTATCAATATTGTAAAAAAAAAAAAAAATGTTTCTTGAGCATTAGAATTACATTAAAATGATTTCTCAGGGATCATGTGACACTGAAGACTGGAGTAATGGCAAATTCAGCTTTGTCATCACAGAAATAAATTAAAATTTTAAATATATTAAAATAGAAGAGTTATTTCAAATTGTAATAATATTTCACAATATAACTAATGTTGATATATAATTTTTGATCAAATAAATGCAGCTTTGGTGAGCATAAGAGACTTCTTTCAAAAACATTTAAAAAATCTTACCATTCCCAAACTTGAATGATAGTGTATACGTGTAATGAAAAAAAAAACATTTTTTTAAATAATAAAGAAAATTCAGGATAAGAATTTAAGGGTAATGATTTCCAGAAACATCTACGTCTCCTCATTTTTAATGACCAACCTTTCTTGGTGTGTTTTCCAGAGGTAATTCGGACAAGACTAAGAGAAGAGGGAAGCAAATACAAGTACTTCTTTCAGACGGCGCGTCTTGTGGCGGTGGAAGAGGGATATGCAGCTTTTTACAGAGGACTCATTCCACAGCTCATCAGACAGATCCCCAACACAGCCATAGTGCTGTCCACCTATGAGCTCATTGTCCATCTGCTGGGTGAACCCTCCAAATGAAGCTGCACACAACAAGTACAAAGATACTTTTGACCTGCAGCTAAAGTAGACAGAAAAGAATCCATTGTGAACAGGGATGTTTATGTGAATTACCCAAAGACTTTAAATAGCTTTTTTTATTTTAAGTTGACTGCATACGTTATAAGAACTGTTTTGCTTGTTTGTGTGTTATGTAAATGGCGCATATTGCTTAGCTACTCCACGATGTTTGTGTATACTGTATCAGTGTACAGCAAAAGTTCATCTGAATATAAAAATAGTGCTTTTAAGTTAACTAAATTATTCTTATTATAAGTAGTGTTTTGTTGCAGGCCATTGAAGTCTTTGGATCTATGATATGTCCAAGAGTTTTGGAGTTAATCATTAGTGGATCCGGGTTTTATTATTATGTTCTTGGAAGGAATGCAAATGATACTGTAATGGGGGCGTAGAATAGCTTGTTAGTAGCTGACAAGCTCACGTTGCAATATTTTGTAATACTTTCCTGCTTCATGACAACTAGTAGCACTGGAATCTGACCAATCAATTCCATTCACCTCTTTACTCGAAACTTTTCATCCGTTTACTATATGTTATAGTTGTTCATCTTTTACAGAAAAGGAGGGCCTTGATGCATATGCTGCTGTTGGTTTGATAAAATAAATTATGAAAATTATTTTTTGTTGTTGTTGGGAATGCACAGATAAAATGAGCCACATAAATAAATATACCTTTTTAAGACTGTTTTGATGAATTTATGTCTGTTAGCAATGCTTTGAAAACAAAGGAAAGAGTCAATAATCCCAGGATCCCAGCTGTTTACTTGAAGGTTCCAAAACACGAACAAAGAACATGATCTTTGAGCCTTCTAGTAGTAGATGTCATATCTCTTGTGCCACAATGTTATGTACAAAATATAACGTAATGTCAACATTATGTACTTTTAAGCATGTTATCTCATGTTAATTACGATTCAACTTGATTACTGATACAATACTAATTTTATACACAAAACGTTAAGGTGAAAGATGAGAATTTACTGTTGTAAAGCTTGTGAATGGCTGTTACATCTTTTGCCTCAAGAGGGCAGGTTTATACCATATAAACCTGCTTCAGTTCACTGTCCTGAAAAGGCAAGATGGTGGTCCGTTTTATTTATTGAATGGACGGTGTACAGCAGTAATTACAGGCAATGTAATGTAATTTCTGCAAATTTCAAATAAGTGAACAGAGATAGAACACAGATAAAGCAAATGTTTTATTGTTAAAAAGAGATTTTAAAAATGCAAAATGTATAAATAAGGAAACAATGCTAATCTTAATAACTGTGCAACATGGGTACAAAACAATATTGTACTACTATATAGATATATATATATATAT